TATATATTTAAATATATATATATATATAAAAAATAAATTTTTTTCTTGCCTTAAGAACTTCCTTTATGTTCTATTTTAGCTCAGTTGACCTTCTTTTCTTTGTCTTTCCCTGACAAATGCTGTTATGTTCTCTGCATTCAGAATAAATTGCATGTTACCTTCCCAAAGACTAATGGATTGATTTTTTTAAATGGCACCTTCTCTCAACCTGCTGAGGTTGTTGCAGTGCACTTAACTGATGGATAAAAGTGGCATGTTAGTTGTCAAATGTTGTCTTGATTTCAGAATATAGAAATTTAAGATAGAGATGATAATTTGACTGATTTTTCCATTTTGATTTTAGTAAGTATGAGTGGACAATTTCTTAATGCTCCATGTTTACCATTATTTCATCTGAAATGTTACAAATAAAGAACCCCTGAGGATTTAGAAGCCTTTATTGTTTTTGAATACAGAGCGAGTACAGTTTTATTTGTTTCCTGGCTCAGGTGTATAAAGCTGCAATTCTTGCCAGCAAATTGATTATGACAAGAAAGAACTCTTTCAGCTAGAGGCTTCACACAATACAGCAGTTGTTTGTATCATTATTTGCAGGGACTGCACCTTTTATATAGATATTTAGATTTTCCAAATAGATATTTTACTTCCCATTTTAATAAAGCACTCAGAACTGTTGACTAACTAGTAAATGTTAGCGCTCTCTCAGACAGCGAACTGTTAGCTGCACTACAGTTATGTCCAAAGTCGTCGTCTAACCCCCCTCTGCTCTCAGCAAAGGGGAATACCTGCTTTGGTAAGGTCCATGCCAGCCTTTGAGAGAGATCTAGAGAATTGGAAGGAGGTTTGAAAGGAGGCTTTCAGAAGATTCTGGTTTGAAGTAATTGAAGGTCAGGACCATCGAACAGCAGCTGTCCAGAAATTACTAGGCTTTGATCTGATTCCAGTGCCTGGATAGACATATAGTGTATGCATAACTGTACAGAATCTTCTGTGCATTCCTGTGAATGGACATTGTGTTTCCAATAATTGTATTGGTTTTCATTTGAACATTTGTATCTTTGTACAGTGTCTTCTGTGTGGTTTCTTCCCATTGCAGACCCTGAATGGTTTTCATGGCAAATAATCATATAATATGGCATCAAGCCATTTTTCACTCTTCACTGTCTGCTTTCCTTTTTATATTATTTATACCTCATCTTTCAAGACAGAGATATTCTCAAGAACATCTGCTTTTGCTCATTTTTACTCAATCCCTGAGAAGGCAATTGTCCAGAGTCCAGTGTGGACTAATTTTAGTCATTCGGGACATAGTTCCTCCCCTGTTCTAGAAATTGGTATGTTGTCTTAGTGCCTGCTTTTTTATTATGCAAATTATTTTTAAGGGTCTGAAACCTTGTGTGGTAGAGATGCCACTTGCTTAAAACCTGTCATCTTAGCTGGAGGTTTCTCCCTACTTTGTATACTGAGAAATTACAACCTGCATGTATGTAGGTAGTTGCCTCTGAAGTTCAGCTTTAAATATGACTTGCCTTGTGCAATGTAATGCACATGCAACTTTTTTCTTCTTTCTAGCAAGCTGAGCACTTCCCAGCTGCTCAAAGTACTGCTTTCATCCAAACAGTTTTTAGTTCCTCTCAGACAAATGCATCCTCTTCTAGAAGAAAGGCATGATTATTTTTTCCCCCAAAACTTGTGGGGTCTTTGTTTTCAGACTGCTTTTGCTCCTAAAGCTGCTAGCCCTGATGATCTGAATACTCTACCCTTTCACATCCAATTAGAAAATAACCACACAGAGATGGTTTGCAACATTCAGTAGTTTGCCAATGACTTCTTGAGGGCTCCACTAGGTTGGAGTATAGGAATGGTCAAGCCCCTTCCCCTTATTTCCACAGAGAAATTGCCAAAAGAATCTGTCCTAGCTTCATGCTTGTCTCTGATGTCCTTTAGAAGCTTTACCTGCTCCAGGCTTTCTCAAGTCTCATTCCTATCTAGAGAAAACACATTTCTACCAACCCCTTTGATTTTCTTGTGGAAAGAAGTGGCAGTACAGAACATACAGAGTACACAAGGTGTAATGAGCTAGACAAATAAAAAGAGGTTACTTGACCTCTAGATGTTGATCTTTGAGAGGCCTCTCTTCATACTGCCTGCCTGCTTTAACCTTTGTTTGGAATTTGAAGATAACATCAAGGTTCTGTGGTATGAGAGAGCAGAGCTTTTATGAATTGGTAATCTTCCATGCAGCGCTGGGCAGTTACTCTGCTTTCTGACATGAGGAATTATTTATCCTCTCAAGAGCATCCGTATTTCAAGACAGCCCAACAGCGCCAAATCCTGCAAGTAGAAATAGATGGAGGCAACTGCTGAGCAGCAGTTACCCGTAGCCATTCTTTTCCCCCGTTCCTGTTATTCTTGGATGCTGAACAAAGATGTTCTTTTCCATACTGCCCCTTCTTTCATTTGGAATTCCTGCAGTTTGCACACCGTCAGGTGTCCCTCTCATGCAGAGAGTGGAGCCTACCAAGTGGAGTGATGAACGTGCTCTGAGTTTCTTCATTTGTGGGGTTTTTGTTGTTTTATTTTTTGTACTGTTCCTCTGTGACAAGTCTAGCAGAATGGTTTGCTGTTTGGAGATCCTGAATCAATGGGCAAGTGACTGCAAATACAAAACCCCCAGATATTTAACTGGAGAATCAGAAATCAGAGGCTATGGAAAGCGCATGAGGCTATGGAAAGATTTTGACTTCAAAGTAGGAGAGGGAGCTAACTATACTTTTTGTCAAAGCTTTTCCCAGTTCTGTCTTAACACTCTATCTACCAAAAGATCTAATTTCTATAGTTTAAGTGCCTTATGGATGCGGTACCAAAGCCAGAATGTAATGCCTCTTTTTATATTCCAGTTTGTCAATGAGTTTTGTTGCAAAATGCCTTGTGTTGCTTAGGACAGTACAACACGGTAACATTAGGTCAGGTGAAAGTAAATCATACAGCCTTAGAGACTTTGAGCAATTTCTTACCTCTTCTTTGCTTCATTCACATGAACAAAAATTATCTGAGATAATCATTCTGTGATTGGTGAGATTTCTTCTTACACTTCAAGGTAATTTTTTATAATGAGCATGCATTTGTTGTTCGTAAGCTGCACCACCTAGTGGTGAGCAGGCTTTTGGTGAAAAATATTTTAATTTATGAATTTGCTCTTTAAACATAATATTTCCTTTTTTTCATGTTCTTTACATTCTTTTTGGTCTAAGTACATAATGCAGCTGTCCCTTAAGTTTATTTCTAGTTGGTTATCCTAGGTTAGACACTAAATTAAAAGCCTGTACTTGTACTACTTGCATCTTTGCATGAATACAGTGTAATGTTTTTGTGCAGGGTAGATTTCATTAATATTACTTTATTAATATTTCTGTAAATTCTTTTAAAATTAGTCTTGTATGTTGTTTCTTGTAGCTCCTATGCTAATGTCATTACAGATTTTTTTAATTTTTTTTTTAATCAGTCACACCCACTCATCAATGTATGCTAAAATTGACCTTTCTGCCCCCCTCTTCTTTACAGCCTCGCTTCTGACCAGACTCTTACACGTCAGGGTCCCAATCCACCTTTTCCTGAAAACTATCACACTTTGCCAAAGAATACCAGGCAGCCTTCAGGGAGCTCACCACCCCCATCAAACCGCAATTTGCCGAGTGACTACAAATATGCGCAAGACCGTGTTAGCCACTTGAAGATGTCCCAGGAGGAAAGGAAAGCAAATAAGGACGGAACTGTTTGGCAGCTATATGAATGGCAGCAGAGACAGCAATTTAAACATGGCAGCCCCACTGCCCCGCTTTACATAGGTTCTTCAGACTTTATTGATCGTGGTAAGTCAAAAAGTTCGTTAGACGTTCCACGATCAATATCTGTTCCGCCCTCTCCATCTGATATTCCTCCACCTGGACCTCCAAAAAACTTTCCCCCAAGGAGACCACATACTCCCGCAGAAAGGCTTACAGTTAAACCGTCTGACGAGAGACAGACTGTAGATGTTCCTTTTGCTGGATCACCCAGGAAGATACGAAATCATGCTGTAAAGGTTTGTATACAGTATAACGGATTTCAAACTGTTCTGTATATGGTGTCGTACATTGATAATTTAATTTAGTCGTTTACATTGCATCCTTCCTTTTATGTGAAAGATCACACAAGTTGTAGAAGTTAATACAATGAATAATTTTCTCTTCGAACTCTTATCTTTCTGATCATTTCAGTTTTATTAATTTTTTGTTGGTTAGGAAAGGAAAAATGGTGGCACATCCCATTGGTTTGGAATATTTTTATTCAAAAACTGGGGGGCATATATTTATATGTATAAAATACACAAATTGTAGTGTTTTAATGTGTAGAGTAGGTAGGCAAGAATATAAAACTCATCAGGATGAACTCTTCATTGATTACTTACTTATGCTTCTAGTCTTCAATGTTTGCTGTGTCTGCTTT